TGTGTTCATTTTGGTGTTTGGATTTTTAGGGGAGGTGTGTACATTAAGATTACACTAAAGGAAGGTGTGATGGCAAAAAGTTTAGGAACCCTTGCTTTAGGGAATAGGCCTTCTCACCAAAAAAACTGAACTAGAGAATGTTCCAGAATGCTCTACTATGCAGGCACAAACCTATACAGATGACCACCTGAAGAACTATAGTTATAGTCAGACTGTTGACAGAATAAACAGTCCTCAATGCTCTCATATTGGAATGTTTTAGTAATCAAGCAATATATTTTAAAAAGTACCTGGGCAGCCATATCCACTAGCTGTGGAAGCTTTAAATATTTCCCTTCTCCTTCCTTAAGAAAATCTAGTAAGCTACCTATAGAAAGACACAAATGCAACAATGTTCTTTAATTCAGCTACAGTAATGGTAATCACAACATTTTAGTTACAGTTCAGTTTCAGACTCTACAGTTACCTCAGGCATAGTTCAAAAATAAAATTCTACTAGTATCAATATAAAGAAAATAGACATAAAGAAATATGTTACCATATAGTACTTTGGAGTGGGTGCTAAGTAATTTTGTGTATGTATAAATAAAATATATTTAACCAAATTGAATAATAGTGTTAATATTCATTTGCAACAATTTTAATGTAATGACTGTATATGTGGGATCCCCCCCATCCCAAAAAACAAGTTTACAGTTTTTTGAGGCAGGAGTTTGTCATAATATGTATGGTTATTAAACAGTGACCTATGCAAATAAATATGAATGTAATATTGGATTTATTTTCAACGTCATGGGCAGGAGTCAAGTAGTGTTGCTTCAAGACATACACAGTAGCACCTGGGTCAGAGATAAGCCTCTATTCTGGGCTGGTGGGGATATCTGGATTTCTGAGAATGTGTAGGCACTCTTCATAACATGGCTGCCATAGGGAGTGTTGCCTATTCACAAAAAGTCTCAAATGGAAGGAGGTGGCCAATGACAAAGCATGCATTTACTAGAAAACAAACTGATAAGAATAGTCTCTGTTTCACTTTCTCACCCCCAGGATACTGTTTTCAACCCCAGCTTCCTTTTTGTTCTAGGTAGCAAGTGCCCATTGTTCTAATTTACTAAGAATACCTTTGGGCCTATATAAAGTTCAGAAGCATTCTTGTAAACAAAGATGACATTAAAGACTGTGTCTTTACTGCATGCCAACTTCTCATGTAATTATTTCAATTAAAATTCTCTTCAGGAAGCCTGGCTCATCTAGCTAGAAGGTATTGCTGTTTACCCCTCTGTTCTGTTTTTTACAGTCATATAGCACTATAGTTGGTCAGGACTTTGAAAAGATGAGCAAATGCAAAAGAAATAGGTCTTAAGCATTTTCTAGGTTTATTAAAATATATGTGTGCTGATGCCCTGACAACAGCAAAAATGGTGATAATTCTTTGTTATCCATCCTATATACAAGAGCAGCAAAAAGTGGACTGAAGACAGATCAATGGCTTCTTTGATCATAGTTTATTGTCAAAGGTAGGCAAAATTTTGGTGCCAGGAAGCTTCGCGTAACATTTTTTAGGAGACCAAGGACTGTAAAGGCTAAAATTATGATGAAGTAGGTAATGTCATTTTAACCAGACTGATTTTCCTGGATTTGGAGAAGAATAAACAACGTAGATCTATTTTGGAGGTTACACTACAGTTTTACATATTTGCTATTTCAAAGTGGCAGGAAATTGTGCCATTGATTTGGTAACTGAGAGGTTCTAGGAACTATATAAAAGGACTCTGGAGCCATATATACCAAGTCATAAAGCATAGTTTGTAAACCACAATGACTATTGGAAACTAAGATAAAATGACTTGGTAAGATGTGTGTTCCTAGCCACAACTTCATTCTTTCAAATACTATAAAACTGACAATATTTTCTTCCTTTTTTTTATTCAAATGTAAAAGACTCTGCAAAGTTATATAATGTCTAACTTATAGGCTGTAAAACATCAACCACAATGTTGCAATAGTGTTTTCAGTCTTTCATATCTTAAGTCCCATCAATCACCCTGTCAAAGACCCTGGATCTTACCATGACAAAAAGCAAAAAACTCACTTTTTCATTTAGACATTCTTTTCTTACAGCTGTCATTTAGGATAAGTTTTGAAGATCTAAATAAAGTTCCAATGACTTCCTCTGTGTGCCTTCTAGGCAACTTCTGAGTGTTATCTGTGGTATGTGTATTACTTCACAGAAACATTGGGCTTTGGTGGTGTTTTCCCTCTTCTCTTTTGATTACCACAAAAAGATGACTGAAAGCATTTGCTTTCATTTTCAACTAATGAAACTGTGGTTTAATATACAAACTGAGAACTAGTTTTAGAATAGTTAACAATATTAACTATTGTTTGTTCAAACAAGTTATACTGCAGTGATTGCTTAAATAATGTACTGTTCATAATATCTATAGTTCCTTTTTTTTTTTATCTGCGCTCAGTCGTTACCGACTCTGCAGTGAGTGCTTGGATGAGTCCTTTGCAGTTTTCAAGGCAA